AACTGTTCTGGATCTTCAAGAACATCACTTGAATCTGAAAGCAACTTAAACTTTGGATCCATCGATGTAGGAGCAGGTTTGATGCCCAACATCCCTACATCTTGTAATAGATTAAGTACATACTTCTATTAGTTGATAACTAGGTCTTCAGAAGAGTGGGCAACCTCAGTGCCATAAAATATTGAAACTAACTCAAATCTTTGATCATTACTTTACTTTGAAAAAATAAAATTAAAATTAGAGATACTTTGTCTATCATCACCCATCAGAATAATGTCATAAACATAAATAAGAAGAATAATATAACCCACAATAGTGTGACGATAAAATATGGTAGGATTAAAGGCACTCTAATGAAGACCAAAATTTTGAGCCAACCTACAAAAATAACTAAACTAAACCCAAGGAGACTATTTCAGCCCATAGATAGATTTCTGTAGATAGTGCACGAAATCTAATGAGTCAATCAAAACAAAATGAAGAGATTGCTCTATATGCACCTCCTCAGATCTTCATGAAAAAAAGTATTCTTCACATCTAATTGCTGAAGAGCCCATGAGAAGCAAATTACAAATACCATCAAGATATGAATTGAAACAAGCTTTGTCACTAGAGAGAAGATCCCCATATGTTTGAGAAAATCTTTACGCCACCAAGTGAACTTTAAAATGATTAACAGAACCATATGTAGCCATCTTGATTGTGAATACCTAGCAACAACTCACCACAAGTGTGAATGAGGGACAAGGAATCAAGCATTGTCAAGTTGAGGTATGACAAAAAGTCTCAATCTCTTCCACCATCATAGCATGCCAACTAGGGTGATTCAATGCTTGAGAAATAGTCTTGAGAACATAAACAAATTATAGGCTACAAATAAAGGCATGGTATGATGGGATGAGATGAAAATAGAAAATAAAGTTAGAAATATGATGTTTAGTACAAGAACAAGGTATCTTCTGTAGGGTGATCAGAAGGTCGAGGTTTGATGACAAGGATGGTGTAGGTGGGATTTGTAGTGTTGGACATATAAGAGATGCTCCAAGTAAGGAACCATCCAACAAAGAAAGATCAGTAGCTAGAGTAAGTGTGGATGACGAAGGAGAAACTTGTGGCACATGAAGAAGAGAAGAAGAAGAGACCGATGAAGAAAAAGATTTAGAAAAATTAGCAAGATGAGCCTAAAGTCACATGAAGAGGGAGAGGTAGTCATAGATGGTTCAAAGAAAATTAGACCCTTCACAAAAGGTAACATCTACAGAGACAAATGACAATGAGTCAAAAGATAATAACAACTATACCCTTTTTAGAGGTGAGAGTAATCAAAGGAAATACATTTCACAAACTTGGGTGTAAGCTTATCTAGATCCAATCTAAGCTGATGAACAAAGCACACAACTAGATATGCGTGGAGGTAAATGAAAGAGAGGATGACTAGGATAGAGGATAGAAAAGAAAATCTAATATTATAAGATAGAAGATGACATCTAGTTAATGAAGTAGGCAGCAATGAGAACAACATCCCCTCAAAATTGTAAAGATACATAAGTGACAACAAGAAGGGTGCAAACAATCTCAATAATATGACAATGTTTGCATTCAACAACGTCATTCTGTTGAGGGGTATGTAAGTAAGATGAGTGGTGGATATTGTCATGTTACTAGAGGAAGGTGGTCATGCATATGCTAAAATATTTCATCATATTGTCTTAACGAAGAGTGATATTAGGTGCCCACATATATAGAGTCAAAAGAGATAGAGAGTCCGATGGAGAGGAGGGTTTTCTTGTAGATGATGGTGCCAAACTGTGTGCGAACTTTCGCACAAAAGGTTCTAAAGAGGGAAAATAACTAAGACCCATTTTTCATAAGATATACCCATGTAAGAATGAATAAACATCAATGAAAACAACAAAATAGGTATAACCAAGTTGTGTAGATATATAACTCAAACCCAAAATGTCAAAATAAATAAGTTCAAAAGAGATGTAATTATAGAACACGAATGAGAAGGAAAGATTGTCTTAATGTGATTTTCAAATTGACAAGAGGCATACTCGAGTGTAAATAAATATGACAAATCAAAAAACAAACACTTGAGCTTTGAAAAAGAGGCATGTCCAAGTCGATTATGAATTTGAAACAAAGAGACACTAGCACAAGTCATTAGATCTAGAGGGCACAAATAATAAAGACCACCAAGCTTAACTCTTTCACCAACCTTTTTCCCAATCTTCAGGTCTTAGAGAATATAAGATTGAGGAAGAAAAGTCATAGATACACTATATGGGCTGATAAGAGAATTAATGAAAATAAGGTTAAAAGGAGATTGAGGAACATGTAAAATAGATGTAAAAGGAAGACAAGGTAAGAGCAAAAAAAATTTAATGCCAAGAACCAAAGTCTTCGATCTATCAGCAAAGGTGAGCAAAAGATGAGAAAGATTCAAGTGGTAAGAGGTGAAATGACAATGCATATCAAAGATATGATGGGTGGCACCTAAATCATACACTCATGGCTGAGATATACTAACAAACATAGATGTTGGAGTAATATACGACTGAATCGTAGACAGTTGAGACAATAGCTAAGCAATAAAGGCATCACACCCATGATGGTGCAAAGTAAAAGGTGTAATTAGAGTTGTAATCTACTAAGATAAATGTTGAGCAGTCTTATGTTCCTTGAGAACCCACTACACTTCATTAGTTAGGGTAAAACTAGAGAGAGTGGATGCACAATGGTCTCATCTAATATAATAGCATGAGCCTTAGGATACCCATGAAGAACATAACAACAATCATGGGTATAGCTCTTCCGATCACAATGAGAACACTAAAGATGTCACTTGAATTTGTCATATTTGCCACCATGTGTGCCTCCATCATGTCCCTAATCTCTAAAGCCACAAGAGTGACTACCATCAATAGGAGCAGCAAAAGAAGTAGCTAGGGCAACAAACTCAAGTGATGGAGAGGAAGCCACTGAAGTAATAGGTGCCTAAGAGAGACGACGAAAAATCTCAACAAGAAAAAAAAATTCCAACTCCAACAAGAACTAACTCTATGCACCATCAAATTCTATTAGAAAACCCCACAAAAAGTTGATGACATTAAAGCAATTTCATTGGCACTACATCACTACAAGATTGGTGGTTAGTGACATTAATAAATTAAGTTCCCACTCAATCCAAACAAATACTTCAAAGTATTCAACCAATGAATACTACCCCTTTTGCATCCCATAACACTCAGCCTAAACATCATATTGGCAAGTAAAATTGTTAGCATAGATTAGTCAAGGATGATCTGACACATGTCGACACATGTTGAAGTCATGCCCAAGGGGGCTCTTTGTGGGCTCAAGCGAGGCCCACAAAGAGCCCAAGAGATGTTGATCATCACGATTCTACTTTCAAAGTGACTTAGGCTCTGTCAATGGATCATTTGTAATGAGAGGCAATAGATCATGTCCTACAAGATAAACACGAACAGCATGACTCTACTGTTGATAATTTTTGACACCCAATAAACAAAAGTCTTGATCATTGCAACCCCTGATAAAAGAGCAAGATACATTGTAGGCACTACAAAAACAATACCCCCACCCATAGATGTCCCAAAATTCCCCAAGTTGTCAAACATGTCGGTGAAGAACTAACGTACGAAAGAGTCTTCAGACACATAGACAAGCCACTACAGGAGATGTACACCTAAGATTCCCTAAGGTAGATAGGCACAAGGTGCACCCTAGAGCACAGAAGAGGGCAAGCAGCCTCCTAGGGTGATCTTAGGACATGAAGGAGCCTAGAAGAACACTGACCAGCTAGAGGTTGTCCTGGCCAGAACTAGTGGCTGCACTAGCATGCTGGCTGACGCACTAGCACGCCAGCACTTGCGGGCCACTGCATGTAGAGGCAAGGTGTGTGGCACATGTGTCATGTGACTGCAAACTCCGCACTGCTGCACACGATACACGGCGGCTTACTGCTGCAAACGACAATGCACAAGTGTTGCTGCACACATGATGAACTGCTGCATGCAACGACACATGGCATGCAGCTGCATGTGACAACGCACAATGCACGTGCTGCTGCATTTGATGACACATGGCACCTGGTGGCTACAGCGGTGGCAGCGGTGGCACAGCAGCCAGCATCGTGAAGGAGGCAGCAGTCGATAGAAAACCCTAGCAGTTTCCACAGAGGCAGCAGTAGCTTTGACAGCAGCAGTGGCAGCTACAGCGATGGCGGTGGTTATGATGGTGGCAGTGGCTATGGTGTCCAGCATAGTAAAGGAGGTGGCGGCTGATAGAAAACCTTAGCACAGAAGCAGCAGTGGCTACAATGGCGGAAGTGGTAGCTATGTCAGCGGCAGTGACCAGTGTTGTGAAGGAGGCAGCAGCCAATAGAAGACCTTAAAGTTCTGATGCCATGAAGACAAAAATAATAATATTATCATAAAAAGAGGACGAAAGCCCTATACATATAGGAGTAAGGAGAGAGAGAGAAAGTGGGCCAGGCTCATATATCTCTACAAGATCCACGAAGTTCTGATGCTCATATATACATGGACGTTTTTCCTTCTTCTCATATCCACATTGGCTGAAGCCCTATTCAAAATTTCTTGGGCCTTTCTACCCTACATAAACAAGGTCGCCCAAATGCCTACTGTGTATTAAATTTGTATTCTACCTTCTGGTCAAATCATAAGAAAAACAAACAAATTCTATATGGCAAATCATAAGAAAAAATGGTTCACCAGATTATTTGGGAAATGATTATCGCCTAATCGAAACATAAATCATATTTTCTGAATGACCTCAACAAAGGATGAAGGGTTGATAGAATATACCTGAATCAACCGTCGGTTAAGCAGGAGTGCAAGTAAAGCGTCCATAACATTCAGATAATGCTGTGAACTCTGTACCCAGAATCATGAATTCGTGCATTATGCTTCGCTTTTCTTGATAGCCAACCGTTCATCTCAAGTGGATCGAATCTAATCTCCCCCATTGCATGTCCGGTTTTCTTTGTGGAGCAAATTCTTCATCAGTTCTTTGAAGTCCTCTGCAGTTCGTCCGGCAAATGGAATGATTTCGAGTGATGAACAAACGACCAAGACCCTAAATTCACGTATTTCTTTCAGAATTTCTGTATCCCGATCATAATCCTGCAGACAAAAAAATTGGGTAATGTGAATCGGCAAAATTTGTTATTCTATGTGGTACGAAATTTTCAGTAGACAGAAAAATCATGACCTTCTCTGTCACAACAACAAGGGGTTTGGTTCCAAATTTATCTTCCAACTTTCTGAGTCGCTGTCTAATCAGCATAATATCCTGTTACAAAGTATTCAAAAGTACCACCATTAGTAAATAAAACAGAGTCACCAGAGTGGCGCTCATTAATAAATTGGCGAGTTCATATCAGATCCTGAAGATCACTTGTTGAGGAATAACCAACTAACTGAGTCAGGTAAGTTTCCAACATAGCTGGATGATTTCTTGAGGTCTCAAGAGAAAACAAGCTTTATCAAATCCCAGACATCAGGGCCGTCAATCAATGGAAAAACATAAAAAGACGAGCTCCTTCTTGTGCGTTCTTTTACAGAGAGTGAGAGAGTCAGTTTGAGTCATTCATACCATTTTTCAGGTTTCTCTCAACTAATTCATTTCAAGTCGAGCAATCCTGACACGCGCATCAGATACCATAACACTGAAATATCGAGTCAAATTGGCATGCCACGTTGGCTTCAGTAGACACATTGTGGGTTCAAATAATTCAACTGAAGCTGGAAATAAAATTAGTCAACTCTCTGCTCCAGCCCAAAGATGGCCCTGACTGCACCTTGGAGTAGCAAAACGCAACCACCCATCCAAAAAGATAAAAAAAAAGCCCACAACCAAACGAAAAAAAATTCCTTGAATAGCAAATAATCTTTGAATTATGACAATGTAGACAACAATAAAAAGTTAGTGATGCTATCAAGCTTGATTATAAAACAACCAAGTTGCACAAGAGATTGTGCAACTGACGTGCCAGGAAAAATAGGTACAGGGGAAACACAATTCCATCAGACAAACTTCAGGATTTGAAGGTAATAGTTTCAATGACAAGAGAAAACCATAACCCTTTCAGCAGCAAAACGAATTACTGTCCTCTCACATCCTACAATGCAAATCTCTTTAACTTATTTAAATTAAAGTAATACTGAAATAAAAAAACTACTAAAGTAAAGGGAAATGATAAAGCAGAAACATTAAATGCTTACCTCTGGTTGAATGAAATGATGATCAACAAAATCCAGCTGATCAACGTGCAATGCACCAATCTACAGGAGTTTAGCGTCAGAGAAGGAACCCTTAATCAATTGAACGTTTCAAAATCAGCAACTGCAGATAAAGAGTATAAGAGAAACAGTTTTGACGTATACATGAGCTTAACAATCCTAGCCATGGGATTGAAACTTACATATCATCAAAGATCTAATCATAATATAGTCAAGAGTAAAGAAAAAGCATCAAACTGAACGAACCTAGTCTTCATTTTGAAAGACAGGACTAGGAGAACTCAGTCAAAAAGATAAAGAATGCTTGCTGTTCTCAGCCAGACCTTAGTTAATCTCAATAGAGGGCACGAACATATAAAAAAAGCAATCCGAAAAACGCCACACAAGAATAAACCAAATAGGAGACTGACAAGTTGACATCCCAACTCCCAAGAGCTTGGCCTCTCCCATTCTGATTCGCATCATGTTTATCCACGTTTAATAAAACCCATGCTGTCAATCTTCTGTAATCCACATTTTGACCATACTCATACTTTGTCCTCATGTGCACCAGAGCAACTTAAATGACATAATTTTTTACTTAAGTTCTATTGCTAGTTTAGCTTTCCTATAACAAATGTAAGGGCTACAGTATCAAACAAATTGTTAACCTGACAAGTGGTCAAACAGGATCCTCTAGAGATACTGCGAATGATACGTAAGGTATAAGAAACAATTTGACAAAATATGTCTCACTTAATAAGAACAGACTTGTCCAAAGTTTGCAAAAGTTTTGAAAATTAGACAAATGAACTAGACTTTAGATTCCATGCAAATAAAAGAGAAACCATATCAACCAGAAAGGACTTAATGTTCCTAACAGATGCTCATCACCATTAGTGAAAATACAAATCGTGAGAGTTAAAATAAAAAAAATAAAAAATAAAGTGATACCTTTTCGATTCCCTGGGAGAACGCACTTGGGAAACCAATGGCAGAAACACAAAGTACTACCATATTTTTTATGATCCTTGCAGGAATAGTAGTGTGCACGTCTTTAATGTCAAAAAAACATGATGAGGCCAATCTGCTGAAGAATATTGGAAGCGTTTTCTTAACATTTAGCATTGCTGTTTCAAGGGCTTTGAGTTGAATATCTGATACCTATATCAAATGGACGAATGGGAAAAATCATAAGCTATTTCAACATTTGACGCACTGACCATTAGCAGAAAAAAAATTGACCGAAAATAATTCAACAATCTAGACTTTAAGAATCTCAGTAAAGACTATAATTCATGGAAACAACTTGTAAGGGAGGGCCGGAGTTCAATAAAGACTGTAAACCAACAAGGAACAACATGGAATTTCGTTTCTCAAAGATTACAAAAGAAGATGCACCCGATCCCAAAACCTCAGTCCACACAAAGCCCAATATCCTCAGTTTACAGTCAGCTCTAATCAGAGTTCCACAAGCCTTTGTTAATTGTCTAGATCCCGTCTATTTGACAGAACTTATTCACAGAAAGGATCAAAAGTATCTGAAAAAGCCGCCTGACCAACGGATCTGCTTGATGTCAAGACTTGCCAACATGTTTCCAAGTTTTGGATTAAGGTTTATGCCCTAAACCTTACAAACGAAATAACCATAGTATTCAATTAATTACAGAAAAAATGATCAATCTGAGATCAACTCGTCTTTCACTAGCAATAGCCTAGGCAAGTATTCATTCTTTTCTTCTAAATGAAGTTCCCCCCGCAATCTTTTTTAACTTGCCAGTTATAGAGGTCTTGGATGATGCATTTATAATCATGAAGTAATGTGGATATTCTACATTATAAAATTTTGAAAGAAAGTATCCTTCGACTCTGAATTGATAAAGTGTTTGTTTGGAATTTCGAAGGATGCCAGTAAGAGTAAATAGCAGAATTGTCATTGCATGTCAAAAACAATGAGAAACTTTGAGAAGAGATTTTCTATTCCTAATTACTCTGGCATAAAAATGTCAAAAAGCGAAAAAAAGGAATGATAATTTTACTGCTGATTGTTGTAAGAGATAAATTGGCAAAATCTAGATCAGAAAACCCTTAGCAGCTACATTTCCGTTAGATATTTTTATACCTGCGAAAACCAAAAAAAAATGTCCGAATCTTTCCTTTTGTTTTTTGTTAGGTAAATTATGACAAGAAAAGTATTCTACAATTAAGAGCACATTTGTTTTCAAACCAAAACACTTATTATCCACTATTAAATCTTCTAATCCTTTGTTATGGACCGAGTCAATAGTCAAATGTTTTGGTGCCTAATGAGAGGATAAAGCAATATTATTCTGAATCAGAGCACTTGTTTCTTGTTAATCCGTTCTTGCAATAATATCCTCGGATTCGGAACACGATAATTTGGTATATCCATTTTACGACCATTAACTAAAATATATCTATGGTCAACTAAAATCCTGGCTCCAGGACTGGTCGAAGCTATTGCCACTCGAAAAAGAATGTAATTCAATGCATCTCATGTAGTTGTAGTAAAACCTTATTTGTTGATATCAGCAGTTGGAAGAATTGAGTAACATTGGACTTTCTCTAATAAATGTTTGTCAGTATTCTGATTCTTACGAGCTTGAAACTTGAAAACCTAGGTCTCATTGAGCTAGCTCGACCTAGTTCAGAGACCCAGGTTGATCTATTATTTTAATTGATAGATGTGAGCCACAATCCAAGTTTAAATGGGCTCAAGGGCATCAACAGTGGTATTAATGTATTTAAGTTCAATCAACTTTCTTATCAAGGACGTTGTAGAATTGAAGGTTTCTTATATTTGGGAGAGAGTTCATATCTATGCCACAGCCTAGTTTCGAGGACAACGTCAACCAGTATAAAAGTGTTGTCTTCTTGAACCCCTACCGTGTAAGTTTTTTCCACCATAATTTGATTGCAACAAAGTTTTCTTCAACATTCTCATCCAATTCCTTTTACGATGCATTATGTTGACTCTTTTGTTTTAAATCAATGGTAGAAGTGAACAGGAACATCTTCAGCACCTTGCTTACTCTCAACAATATATCTTCGTTCCCGTACTGATTCCCATTTATATCTCACATAACATGCCCAGCATTTCCCACATGACCAAGAATTTGATTGCCAACACAGAACTCTATGGTACATTTAGTATCTTTCACCTTAAAATCGGCAAAGTAGGAGCTTATACTGCCAACACAGTGTATCTCTGGGAATCTGCATTTCCTTCCCCACGTATAACCTCGTTCCTAGCTTCTACTTGTCTAACCAATCCTACAATACGAACAATTTTGACGTATCGTTATACCAGATAGCGAAAATCTTGATACCCAGTCTCTCTCAACAACATATCTAGGTTAATACTGACTCCCACTTCTACACTGTGCATGACTCTTGGTTTTGTAAAACATTGACAGAATGGCTTACCACCATGATTTTGCTACCCATCATACTCCACTAAGTCTCAATAATTCTGACATCTAGGATCGTGATAAATATGCTAAAAGCTCCCAGGGAATACACAGGTAACATTATAAAACGTAGTTTAAACTCTACTAAAACTCCAGGAAAGCTTTCAAACTTTTCAGTAACTATAGTACATAAAAATCAATGTAAATTATCAGGAGAGTAAAAGGTCAAGTTGGTGAGGGAAAAAGCATGCAAATTAGAAGCATCATCATCTGAGCTAAAAAAATTATCAGAATAATCTTTTCCACGCTGAATTAAATAACCAGAAACTAGTGAGATGAAACGAGCAAATGCCCAAACACTGAAAGAATACACGATGATATGAGTTGATACCAGATCTGCATGGTGTATTACGCCAATACCAGCCCGTTTGAGTGCATCCAAAGGTTCCCGTAAAGTTCCACGTGGGACCAGCTTCCGATTTCCCCATGGCATCATACCATTGACCATAACAATATCTAGGTCCCGCACCAAACTCCAGTTCTGCCAACCAAATAATCACAATTATGTGTTTAACTCAAGGAGCTTAAATTATGTAGAAACAGATGAAATCATGCCATCTATGATCATAGACTGAGCCATAAATTCATATTAAAATTATCATAGACGAATCCCCTGTCAAGAAATACTGATATGTGAACCAGCTTCACAAGGCATAAAACGTTTCTCTCGCAAAGTAAAATAAAATCCGACATAAGGACCATGCTTATATATATACACCTACGTCTTCAAAAAATGGACTATTTTGGTCAAATATTCTTTCCACAAGGAAGGCTTCGCATTCCCTGGACAACTAAAGGGAAATTGCAGGTGAGATCCAATAAAGCTAAAATTATCAAGAGACTGAACAAGAGAATTTAGAAACCATAATATTTGACTGATTTGAATTGGCTGCAGCAGTCCCTAGGGACATATTTAAAGAATTCTGCTCAAAAATAACAGCTCCATTTTTTACGTTCAGCTATTCTGAAAGTGACTTTGGTCTTGGCTGCTGCTTCATTAAAAATAAAGCATAAAAAAGAGTATATTTGCCCATTGATTTGACGACCAAGGCTCAAAGTGAATTAGCAAGATTTGACCAAGATAGGGAAGAACAAGACCAGGTCGACTAAGGATACAGAATGGAAAAAACCCAAACATTTAGAAATAAAGGATCAATGTTATAGATGATAGATTCTCAAATACCAAAGTGCCCAAGCTGATGATTTAAATTTTTTCCATTCTGATTACTGGCATCAGGTTTCCAATAAACAACATCACTCACTGCTTACCATTGCTCATTAAAACAGCTCCAAAATCATGTAGCAATAGGAAAAAATACCATGCAATGTTAGAAGTAACCAGCCCCAGTAGACAAATTCAGAGCAGTCTTTCAAGAGGACACAAAGTCATAAAGCAAGTACAGGCCAAAAAAATAATAGAGGACTATTTCATTTGGAAAGTCAGTACCTGGAAGCCATCATCTAAAATTATGACTCCAATAGCACTTTCACTGGAGCGAGTTAAATACTCCTTCCTGGTGGATGTTTTCTGTTGCAACCAGTCACAACAACTATAACCGTATTTCTCTAAAAAGGAAGTAGCAACTGCAGCCCTGTTTGCTCCCAAACCTATCCTTGCAGGAGTATTCAGGAGATGCCTACGAAGCATAGCAGCTTCATCACCACCAGCGTAGCCCTAACAAGGAATGGATAAAGGAAACCCTAAGAAACTGGTGTCCAGCTGATGCATGTCATAGAACTTAGATAAAGATTAGAAATACAGACATCAATTGAATATTTTTATTCAAGAAAATAGTAATATACAGAGCTAGAAGGTACAGTGTGGTTGTGAATATTAAACAATGACAACATTAAATCCACACAGAGCATAGATTAAGGGCTTCCCCTTTATGATTGTACAACTACATTTTACAGAGGTTCAATGCTGATAACAGTCATTTACACACTATCATGACTCCATGAAGGGACTAAAGATTTGGTGGCATCTGAGGGCATATCCTTTCCCTTAGCTCCCTCGTCCTCAATGACTAAATCATCTTCAATCAAGCAAATATGAACTTTAATCCACTCCACCCAACGAGGGTAGGGTAAATCTGTAAAGCACACATTGATAGTTCTTCCTTTCGTAAAGGGAAGAATAACAAAGAAGACAAAAAAAAAAGTAACAGGATTGACTAAACTGTCCATAACGAATTCAGGCACGAGGAAGGGTCATCAGAAAACTCAGCATCACATCATAAAACCCAGATAACCATTAAGTTCAACACCAAGAAAGGGTACCCATTCTATTGCAAATTTGAGTCCTACATCAGAGCGATACCAATCGATGTAAATTATTTCTGAGAGCCACTGAAAATACAAATCTTGCAACGATCCATGAAGAATCATGTAACTAAATACGACTCCTGTCTATTCAGGAATATAATATGACAGAATCCAGACGAGCGGATCCTCCATACTAAACCAGATCTTCGAGCTACAAAACAGAAGCACTTATGTGGTTTAAAACTGTGCCATGTTTCTTCAGAAACTAAACAAGTTGCAGTATTCAGCTAGATGGAAAAGATTTACTCGAATCATCCTCTTTCGTCAAGAAACTTCCGTACGAAACTTTGGCTGTGGAGACGGAAGGAATTAAACACGTCTCTATGTATAAATATACCCACCTAGAGACATCATTAGGAGCGAGCCAATGTTGATCAAATAGAAGCTGAACTATTCACAGAAATTTATTCGATTCCGGAATGATTTTCTAACTCACATAGTTTTACCAGACGCCAACAGGAGACAACAAAAGAGGAAACAAAAAGTATAATCTAGAAGAAAAGCTTGAAGAAAGAAAAAACTCACCCGTGTGAGGATAAGAGGCGCCATTCCGGTGTCAAGAAAGATGCGGGCGACGAACTCCGTCATGGGGGTCTTCCCATTTCCTCCCCAAGTCAGGTTACCGACACTGACAACGGGTACTGGCAGTCTGAGGAAAACACCAAGACGAGAAACAAGCGCGATCAAGGATCTGAAAATGAGAAAGAAAACAGAAAGGGAGGGGGAAGAACAATGGCACTCGTCCTGCCTGTGTCCGCGGAGGAGGCCACATCGATAGAGGTTGCGGCGAAGGAAGAGCGAAAATCCGTAGAGGGAAGATGCCAAGGAGAGAAAAGGGAGGAGCGAGCGGTGGAGGAGAGGGAGCTTGGCGGGGGACTGGGCGGCGTCAGGAGTGGAGGCTAGACGGGCCACCAGCCGCCTCATCCCCTACACGATCAGAAAAGAAACGACGAGCATTCGCGGGAACAAGGAAGAGAGCTTCGAAGCCGGTGGCCACAGCCAACTCCAAAGTTCGGCCCTTTTTGGACAACCCCATATGGTTGACTTTCTACATCTAGGAAATCTAACCCTACATGAGTCTAAACAAAATTCTTAATAAGGTGGTTACAGCATAAACCCTAATCGATAAACACGTCTCATCATTAATGGTTGACTATTCCCAAGGGACGTGTGGCCTGTCGGTGTTCCCTAGATTCACTCTCTAGAAGCTTCCCTATGCACGAACCCACATTTTAAAACATCCTCCTGATTTTAGAGCGAGAGAGAGAGAGAGAGAAAGAGGCTGACCCAGTAAATATTGACAATTCTTTTTCTAGTTGGATTTAAAATCCAATCTGGAAAAAAATTAGGATGAATTTAGATAGATTGCGAGGTTAGCTAGGGCAATAACACATGGAAAATATAGTCGCTGATTATTCAGAATAAATTTAACTGAAAATGAAATTTTTTCTTTGCAGACCATGTAATTAGAGAGGTAATGTCGTTCCGGACCATAACCTGGCCCGCGTACAGTTCAAAAGCGCCACCGCTGCCGCCGCCGTGGCCACCTGTCTTCCTTCCTGGATCCCCGTCTGGCTTCCTCTGGTAGGTTTCCGTCAGCGTGATCCTCCCATTGCTTGTCGCCCGGCGAGTTAGGTCGTATCCGCTAGCCGACATCTCTCACCACCGGAGGGATTCTCCCAGTTCGGACGCTTCGTTGCCGGGAACTAATGCCGGTGATCGCCGACTCGAGCGCCGGCCGTATTCGCCACACCGCGGGGGGCGCTTCTCCAGGAAGTATTCGCCTGTGTTCCCCCTTCGTCTTCATCCGCGAGGCGATCGGTCCCCATGCTCCGAATCACCGACGCCAAATTACTCGCCAGTCGGAGAATTTGAATTTCTACAGAAAGTTTGTGGATGCGGTAAGAGGAGGAGATTCGGACTCGCACCGCCGGAGAATCCCGATCCGGAAAAATTGTCGGGCTCTCAGTGTACCTACCATCTGCGGGTGACTGAATCATCTCTCCCCCTCCCTCCCTCTCTTGCAGTGCGACCGCAGCGCAGGAAATTGCATGCGCCTCTCTCTGTCTCTCTGTCTCTCTCTCTCTCTTAATGCTCGCGCGAAAATTCAGGAGGTCGGACGTGCCATTTGTGTCGCCGTAGAGAGAGAGAGACAGACACAGAGAGTTACAGAGAGAAGCAGATAGACAGAGACAGAGACAGAGAGAGAGAGAAAGAGATAAAGAGAGAGATAGCGAGAGAAAGAGAGAGAGAGAGAGAGAGAGAGAGCGAAAGAAAGAGAGAGAGAGAGAGAGATAGCGAAAGAAAGAGAGAGAGAGAGAGAGAGAGAGTACCAGAGATGCGGACATCCTCTCCCTTTCATGATATCGGGGAGGGGCAGTGACGGCGGCTGGCTTTTTCCGGCAGCGCTGGTGGGCTGCTCTGACCAGGAAAAAGACGAGATCCGGTCAGCCCCGAGCGAATCCCCTCCGGCCTGCCCCACAATAGCCATAGCCGCGACAGCTCCTCGGCCCCCGATTAAGTGTCCCGGACGGTAAGCCCACCTCAGATTGACCCGACCGCAGGTCCGGCCCCCAGCGGGCACAGCCTTGCCGGGGTAGGACCACGCGGAGGGGCAAATTGGGGAATTCATTGAGAGAGAGAGAGAGAGGTAGAGAGAGAAAGCGCGTGAAAGGGTGACGAGGGGGGGCACGGGAGGCTTACACGGAGCGACATGGAAGCAGAGCCCACAAAATATCCAGGCACACCGAGATAAAAAGCGGGGCCTTCCGCCGGAGGTCCCTTCCCCTCCCCTTTCTCTCTCCTCTCTCCTCCTAAACCCTGCTCACACGTACGTCGTCCTCTTCACCTCGACGCCGCTCTCTCTCTCCCTCTCTCTCTCTCTCTCTCTCTCGCTGTGTTGCTGGTTTGTTCTCTTTCTTTCTCTGATCTGCCCCTGAGCAGAAACTGCTGCAGGGGGAAGGAACTGCAGCTCCTCCCGACAGCCACCGGCAACGACATCTTCCGCTCCTCAGAAAGAATCAAAGCGAATCAGATTCCTGGGATCGCCCCCTCTCTCTCTCTCTCTCTCTCTCTCCTACGTCGCCGTCTCCGCCTCTGCGGTTTCTTGGAGATGGACCCGGAATAGGACACACAGGAAAGAACCAGAAGAAAAGGCGGGCGGATACGAGCTCCTTTTCCCTCCTCCCTCTTCGCCTCTTCCAGTCACCGCGGGGCGCGGCGGCGGCGCCACCAAGCAGAGAAAAAGAGAAAGAGAGAGAGGAAGAGGAGGAATAGGAGGAAGAGGAGGAAGAGGAAGATAAGGCAGCACGTACATGACGCCGGCCGGCGGCGACTCGAAGGCTTCGTCGATGGTGACCGTCGGGGCTCCGGAGTCCGACGGTGAAGGGAGGGACGGCGTCGCCGGTGCGCCGGCGCCGGCTGCAATGAAGAAGGGGCCGTGGACGGCGACGGAGGACACGGTGTTGGTCGACTACGTGAAGAAGCACGGCGAGGGGAACTGGAACGCCGTGCAGAGGAACACCGGCCTGTCCAGGTGCGGCAAGAGCTGCCGGCTCCGGTGGGCGAACCATCTCCGACCGAACCTCAAGAAGGGCTCCTTCTCCCCCGACGAGGAGCGCCTCATCCTCGAGCTCCACTCCAAGATGGGCAACAAATGGGCTCGCATGGCCGCCCAAGTACTGGAAGCAAGCAACTCCACCTTCTTCCTCCCTCGGTCCTCCTCTCCGTCTGTGCAACTGGTCCTGAATTCTGAATTCTGAGTTTTCTCCCACTTCATCAATTGTTGTAGCTGCCGGGGAGGACGGACAACGAGATCAAGAATTACTGGAACACCCGGATCAAGCGGCGGCAGCGCGCAGGGCTGCCGCTGTACCCCCCGGAGGTCCACCGCCAGACCACCTTCCATTGCCGTCCTCCGCAGGCGACCTCTGGTGCTCCACCGCCGCCGCCGCCGCCGCCGCCGGAGCTCTCTGCCACCAACTTCTCTCTGTTCGACTTCGCCGGCGCCCAGCCGTTCCTCTTCCAGTCTACGGCCGCCGTCAACGACGATACGAGCTTCTTCTCCGTGGGTTTCGGCTCCGTTGCGGCGCCGCAGGCGCCGTCGCCGTCTCAGTCTCCTCCCTTGTTCCAGCTTAGCACTCTGGGGAACTACGACCTCAATCCACCGCCCTCTCCCCCTCTTCTGCGAGAGCCGCAGAATTTTTCCGTGAAAATGGAGCTCCCTTCAAGCCAATTGTTCCAGGAGACGCACAGCATCGCCATCTCCGGTGCCGGCGCCGGCGGCGCCGCCGTGTGTCGGCTGCCTCTGGAACGAAGCAGCAGCGACCTGCTCGACGCCTTTCTACGCGACACCCAGCAAGTAGGCTGCAGCAGCAACAGTCTCAGGGGCGGTAACAGCGTCGAGCACCATCACCACCATTTGAACTTCATCTTGCCGGAGCCTATCCAGCATCAGAGGATCGACAGGGAGCAGTCGCCGGCGCTGGTTCTGGACTCCGGCGACCTCTGGCTAGCCCCCAATCGCCCTCCCGCCGGTGAGTTCCTCCTCCCTCCTTAAAATCGAAAGGGCGTTTCTGGTAATCTTCTTCAATGATTGTAAAGTGTGCTCGCTCTCTCTCTCTCTCTCTCTCTCTCTCTCTCTCTCTCTCTCTCTCTCGCTCTGGCCCACAGAGGGCAAGATTAAGATTGAAGCAGCTCAGGGCATCGCCATCGACGACGACCTGTCGGCACTGCTCGGGGCTATCCCTGCGGCGGCGATGCCGGGTGCCGGCCCGCCGGAGTGGCCCACCGGCGGCGACGGGGAGGCGTCCAACGGCCAGTCCTCCGCCGTCACCGACGGCGCGCTCGACATGCAGCAGGTGGCTTCGTCCCTCTCCGTCGCCAGCGACGAGAACCACAGCTGGGTCGTCGGGCACCGCCGCTGAAGTAAATCGCCTCCCTTCTTCTCCACTGGTGCAACCTCCGCCGCCGCCGTGTGTTCCAAGGTGGGGTTGAAAAGCTGGGGAATGCAGTCAGTCGTCCACCCTAATTCTCCGAGACCAACCGCGACGTGCTCCAAGGCGGGGTTGAGAAAGCGTGAGGAGCTCCACTAAGTCGTCTACCCTAATTCTTCATCTCAACTCCAAGCGGGCTGTCTGGTACGTGTGCTCTCTCTCTCTCTCTCCCCCTCTCTCTCTCTAACCCTGGAACCTTGTACGCAAGCCACCTTCTGACCCACAGTGTTGGCCACTTTTCAATACATTTCATATAATCCTAATCACATAATATTATTTCCAAGATATAAATATCGATGCAAAGGAATTCATAACTTCAATCGCGAACACTCTTTCAGAGAAATTCAAAAACTGTTAAAAATACTAGAAATCTGCGCACAGATTCTATTAATGCATATAATTTACGTGGATCGTTCCGAAAAAAAAGCTTCCATTTTTGCAGCCTGAGAAATGGGAAATGATTCTGATGAAGACTCGAATGATGGCCGCGTATGATGGCGAAACTCATGTTGATTCCCTACGGGATACTTTACTGCCAGAATATTCTAAACTATTATGGTACTCGGACAGGTCGTCGAAGAGCTTGGAAAGAGCGAGGAAGTTGCAGGAGTTCTGTGTGAAGTTGTAGTGAGAGAAAGCAACAGAGATGGCGGCGACTCCGTCGAATGGGGCCCCGTCCGATCCTTGCTAGGGTAGACGACGAGTTCTGTGTCTGAGTTGTAGAGAGAGAAAGCAGCAGAGATGGCGGCGAGTACGTGGGTTGAGGCCCCGTCCGATCCTTGCAAGGGTGGGAGACGAGCGAGCTTTGTGTCTCAGGAGTTGCAGTGAGAGAAAGATGCAGAGATGACTGCGAATCCGTCGGGTGAGTCCACGTCCGATCTCTGCTAGGTAGAAGACGAGCGAGGACGTTGGAGCTGGGAGGTCTCCGACATGGATTTGGACGCGGTTCCTCCGATTCAGACTCGGTCGCGCCGGCCTGTGGAGGGAGCGAGGGAAACTCGCCGGCGGAGGAGGGAGGAGTTCGCCGGCGGGAAGAGCTTGCGGCCGGCGGCGTGATATTGGCACGGCTCAATCAAACGGCAGGCCCCTCACCGTCGGGTACCTTCTGAGGCCCTGCCTTCTGATTGAACCGGACCAATATCCCGTCCGCCATCTCTCTGCAACTTCCCCCTCCTCCTCCGGCCGGCCGATCGACAGACGAGCGTACGAAGAACAAGCTTACTCTGAGATCCTTCCAGAGCAAGGATTCCAGAATACGGCGCCACTCCAGAAGACAGGAGAAGCAAGAAGAAAGCGAAGGGATCGGAGCGATGGAAATCTAGCGTACCTGAAAGTCGAATCCGGTGACGAAGGTCGCCGGAGTGGAAGACTCCGGTGGCGGCGCTCATCCGCGTTACATAGAGAGGAGGGGAGGAGGAAGGGTGGGAGGAGAGGGAGGAGGAGAGGGAGGGGCCCTCGGGCATTGAATTGCCGCGGTGAGTGAACAAGGTGGGCGTTGGGGGATTTATTGAGAAACCGAAAGGAGGAGGGTCCCCATTGGCCTTGGACGGGATTAAATAAATGCCATTGATGGCTCATGGGGCCGGATGTCCCCGCTCCCCCCTTCTCCTCCGCCGCGCCTCCGTCGGTCCTGCCGCATTCAAATTATTCTGCAGTTCGCCGGCGTCGGAGACCGTGCGGATCTCCCACGGAATCATGGAGAAGACGACGACGATGGACGCGGCTACCAAGGGGAGCAAGGAGGAAGAGGAGAAAGAGCCGGCGGAGGAGGGTGGAGAGAGGGAGGAAGAGAATCTACAGTTCAAATTATTCTGCTGTTCGCCGGCGTCTGAGACCATGCTGATCTCCCGCGGAATCATGGAGAAGACGACGACGATCGACACGGCTACCAAGGGGAACAAGGAGGAGGAAGAGGAGCAGCAGCCAGCGGAGGAGGGAGGAGAGAGGGAGGAAGAGGATCTACAGTTCAAATTATTCTGCTGTTCGCCGGCTTCTGAGACCGTGCTGATCTCCCGCGGAATCATGGAGAAGACGACGACGATCGACACGGCTACCAAGGGGAACAAGGAGGAGGAAGAGGAGCAGCAGCCAGCGGAGGAAGGAGGAGAGAGGGAGGAAGAGGATCTACAGTTCAAATTATTCTGCTGTTCGCCGGCGTCTGAGACCGTGCTGATCTCCCGCGGAATCATGGAGAAGACGACGACGATCGACACGCCTACCAACGGGAGCAAGGAGGAGGAAGAGGAGGAGCAGCCAGCGGAGGAGGGAGGAAGAGATCTCCAGAATTCCGGTAACAACCATGCCATGCCATGTCTGATCACCTCGGACCGATCTGTGCCTTTATGTCCTCTGCTAAAGTCCAGATGTATGAAAGATTCATCCTCCAGGGGCGGAGATCAGGGCAGATTGCAGGCATTGCATTGCTGCTGAAAGAATGTTTTGGAACAGCTGAGGGATGGGGATATTATCATGAAGCACAAGAAAAGCATGCGACTAGAGACTGTTAATGTCGAATCTGATGGAAAAACCCCGAGAAGGATCAGAGTGTACGTTATCTGCTGTCAGCTACAGCTAGGATTGCTGGGCCGACCCATTATGGAGGAAGCTTGAAATCCTCGTTGCGCTCCTACTGCTTCCAGCACTGGCGACTCCTTGCAAGGTACATGTCTCTCTCTCTCTCTCTCTCTCTCTCTCTCTCTCTCTCCTTCTCTCTCTCTCTCTCTCGCTACGCATGCATGAGAGGTACATGAACCAATGAATTTCAGGTAATGTGCATGCTTACTCTTCTCACCAAGGTGGACACTAGTAGGCCTTTTGATCTGAACAATTTATTGGTTCCAAGGCATTAGCAAGGCTAGAGGGGGATGAGGGTGTGTAAAAGGGGGGGCTGGGGTTGAACGGTCTGAAAAAAATTCTTCTACTTGGTACTATGAATGCACATATAGCTCAGTAAATTAAGTGCTGCCATAAGAATTTTGTTGATTTTAAGCACATTAGTCATTGGGTCAGGTAAAGGTGCAGTGGCTTTGTGGGATGAGTTATGCACATGACCTTGAAGCTGTGATAAATCAGTGTACACCAATGGTAAATGTGTAAAAGATTATGCAAAGTGTATGTCCATCAGTCAACTAATCTAATAGGCATGCACTGAATAATGTTCATACAATTGAGATGGGCAAGATGTGATAAACTCTAACAACATGCTAACCTTAAGAAGTTGATAAATCTTTTATGTCAAATAGATGATGCACTACTGGGATAATGATTTTGATGTCAATAAATAATTTTTTTTGTAAATAGAATGGAAAATTTTATTAATTTATATTAAATTACATTAATTCACAAATCAAGATCTAAATGATCAAATCTAATTTTTATAGTCATTTAAATATATCTTTCGGGCCTCAAGTGAATAAATGATATGTTAAGAAATATATGAGCACCAAATCAAGTCAGAAAAAAATTAAATGAGCTCAAATTTAGAAGAAATATTAGAAGAGAGAGAAAGTGTGTTGACCCATGAGTCAATTAAGTTAGTATGCTGACCCACTTGAAGAGAGATGAGCATGTCAACCCATCATTGGTTAGAAGAAAGAGAGTGATGACACTTTTGACAAGGACAACTCACGAAACACATAGCATACATGATTGTGTAAATGACATGTTGCAAGAATCAATTGAAAGTGAAGAAAGTGTGTTGACCCATGAGTCAACTAAGTTAGTATGCTGACCCACTTGAAGAGAGATGAGCATGTCAACCCATCATTGGTTAGAAGAAAGAGAGTGATGACACTTTTGACAAGGACATGGCCACCATTTAACACAATAGCAACATGGCAAATGTTCAATGTAAAGTGACGTCACAACATTGCGTTGAAGAATTTAAAAAGTGAAAGTGATATGTGGTAAGATATTCACAATCCATCTAACACATGGCATTGTCTGAATGCTCTTTTGACACATCATGAGGTTAAACTGCTCAAGATGACATATGGCGAAATGATAAAAAAATAGAAAAACTTTATAACAATAAACTATCAACACGTTTTACATATGCAAGATCTCTCACATCATAGTTGATCTCATCTAAAGAGGCATCTTACATGCATAACACATCTTTGACAATGACAGTAGACTCAAACATGATAATAGCATCTCTAACAAATAGTTGACATGCGGCAGATGAATCTAACGAGAATAATTTATTATGACATATTAGAAGATCAATATCACATTTGAAGATCATTGACTAACATGTTTGTGGTTATTTGATGACCTAGAACTGATCTAATTGCACATTGTGCCAATTGGTCAACCCATCTATTAAGCAACACGATATTTAACCAATCATATCTTAGTTATTCGAACTCCAATAGTTGAGATCTTAGCCTCTATATAAAGTCATCTAAATAAGTTCTCAAGTGTCACCTCAATGATGGGAACACTTTCTCATCTCATCTCTGAATTTGTGTGAGAAGTTCTGAATTCTTGCTCCTACAAGTTCAAAACTTCTTCCACTACTTTTTCCACCTTCATCTACAAGAAAACCTACTTTTGGCATTTT